ACAGGTCTCCCCACGACCACAGTATTGGGCTCGAGCCCTCACATCCGCCGACGATAAGAGTAATGGCGGTGATGTGTCAGCAGAAAGAAGGAGAAGAAGAGATGGTCGGAACAGCAACAACGACATCCATACGACCACTGTGGCTCCACCTTCAACAGAAATGACGCAACGGCGGCTGGAGATGAGAACCCAGCAGCACCCGAAGGTCGCCCGCTATCCCTCGCCAGTGTCGGTATCTCCCGACGTTGAGAAGAAGGGATCGCTAGTGGTCTTCGTTGGTCGGAAAGGGAGAGAAAAGGGGTGGTGGCAGCTGGTGTACTCCAAGTGGCAGCTCACTATAGTTTAGGGTTAGGGTTTGGTTAGAGAAGGTGGCGGTATATGCCCGCTCATATGAGATCTTTGCCCATAATTACACTTTCAGCCCCTCCATGTTAATTCTTTTCAACCTAAGTACATATTTTACCATTCAACCCTCAGCATTCCAAAATCCCTTCAATTTAAGTCCAATAGTTTACCAAGCACCCCCTGACTTCTGAAAATCTTTACAAAATAAATCCCGGAATTATACTTTAACCCCCGAAATCCAAATCATATCATTTCGCTCCCCGAAACCAACACCTCGCTAAATATTATGGATTTTGAGGCTACTATAAAATAATATAAAATATTAATTTACATCTTGGGGTTCAGGGTTTATTATTTAATTACTTAATTTTAAACGGAATGTTACGTATCTTTGTCAAGATCTCCAGTTTTTGCAAAATAAAGATCTTAGGAAAAGGGTGGGTGTTAGCTTAGCTAACACCTTTCCAATGCTTAAGTCAGTATCAATGATGAAAATATATAAAGATAATTGAAATTGGAAAAGAAAACATACTTGAGTATCTTGGGCCAGGATCTTGGGTTTATGAAAAATAAGTTTTAAGAAGTATAACGCTCGAGGATCTTGGTAATACTTGACCGTTTAGGGTGGACAACCAATATGCCCCCTTTCTAGCTTCTAAGTTTATAAGGTAAGGTTCTTCCCATTTTAGGGAGAGTTTACATGTACTAAGTTCCATTGTACTTTGGAATACTTTTTTAAGGACAAGGTCTCCTACCTAGAATCTTCTTATTTTGATATTCTTGTTGTAGGATTTAGTAATTTTTTGTTGATATGCTGATATCCTTACTTTGGCAAGATCCCTGAGTTCGTCCACTGTTTCAAGATCTTCAGCTAGGATTTTGTCATTTCTTCTTAGTTATAGAATCTTGTCTTGGCTGTAAGGATCATGAATTTTAGGGGATTCACAACATCAGTTTCAAATACCAAAGAATATGGTGTTTGTCATGTAGTTCTTGGTTGTGGTCCTATCTGCCTAAAAAAACTAAAGGTAATTCCTCAGCTCATCTCCCTCTTCTTTCCATGAGTCGTTTCTTTAAGTTATTGACAATGATCTTGTTGCTCGACTTGGCTTGACCATTAGCTTGATGATGAACATGCATCATAGAAGTGATAATATTGATTCCCTAACTTACACAAAAGTTTTGTGTTCTTTTACCTATAAATTGAGAACCATTATCACATATAATTTCAGATGAGATGCCAAATCTGGTCAGGATATTGCACTTGATGAATGATATCACTTCCTTTTCTCTAACTTGGACAATGGCTTCATATTCTATCCATTTAGAGAAGTAATAAGTCATTGCTATCATGCAAACTTTACCATTTGGTGCTATGGGAAGTTTGCCAACAATGTCCATGCCCCATCTCATAAATGACATTGGAGATATAATTGGATGTAAAGGTTCAACTGGTTGGTGCAATATATTGCTATGTCTTTGACATGCATCATATTTTTGAGTGTTCTCCATTGCATCTGTTTTCATTGCTGGCCAATAGTATCTTGTCCTCAAGATCTTAGAGAAGAGTGTCCTGACCCTTGTGTGGTTGCCATATTCTCCTTCATGGATTTCTTTAAGGAAGATCTTGGCTTCATTATCTTCAAGACATCTAAGATAGGGACCTGCTGCTGATTTTCTGAACAAGATATTTTCGGTGATGTTGAACGTGGAAACTTTGATTCTGAAGGTTCTTGGGTATTTTTCATTTTTAGGGATGGATCCATCTTTGTGATAGGTGAGGTCAAGACGTGGTAGAAGGTAAAGATCCTTCGGGTCCAAGATATTAGTTTCTAAGATCTTCGACAAGCGTCACGTCTTCCTTAATGTATTCTATTGCAAGTTTAAGGACATGGGATATTGGAATCTTAATATCTGGATGAATCTTGAAGGCAGAACCAAGATTATCTAATGTGTTTGCTTATGTATTGTCTTTTCTAGATGCCTGAAGTTTTTTTTTATTCTAAGATCGTGGCCAATTTGCAAGTCCAAGATTAAAGCTTCATATCCAACCTCGTTGTTGGTTGCTTAAAAATCACAACTTACTGCATGCGTCACATTGCTTAACTATATTTTGACATATGCTCAAATTGAAGAAGTTAGAGGACCTTTGCAGATGATAGCGAATATACTTTGAAGGCTACAACTTGTGTGTTGATCTTGAACTATGTTATGATATTGAATTGTAATAACCTCGCTCTTTAAAGCTAAAAACTATTACTTTGGTATAAAAAACCTTTATATTGCATATTTTTTGATGAGTTCTACCATTAGTGGTGGATCCATAACAAATATCAGGAGTAGCACATGTGATTTTAGAACTAGTATCTCGGAAAAATTGCGCTATGACGGTAAATTTCTCAAAAAATTTCACTCGCAAAAAATTTAAGTAGTAGCACAAGCTATATAGGGCTCCCACTAAGGTCCACCAATGTCTACCTTAGGACAAACCCGATAGAAAATCAAGATATGTGTAATCTAATTAATCCTCTGTTATGATGACTATATTTTAGATCCATATTACATAGTGATCTGGCCTATGGATCGTATCAAATTTACCCACCTTGACTCGGTCCCTCATGGTGAATTCCGACACATGCCCAGTTCGAAACCCAGTTCTGCACACCTCTATTTACACGTACACAAATCATACAAGAAAAAGCTCCATAAAATATAGCACATATGTCGACTCTCAAATCTTAAATTTGATTCAACGTCCCTTTCTGTCATCAATACTCTCCGATGGTCCTTTTCTTGTTGGTCTTAGTAAGTGTGCAATAGATTCCACGCATCACGCATGCAGAAACATTTAAGTGATTCACACTATATGATAATCTCAAAGTCCTAAGCTCCACTATTATTTGTGGATCCAATTACATTCCTTATCTCAAACCCAATTGGTAGGTAGTAAAGATAACTAAAGCCTAATCACGATAACTATTAATTTCTTAGCAATTTATATTTTTTTTTTCCTCGCCGACATATATCTAAATATGTTTTTACAACATTTCGTAAAACTCTATATGTGGATTGAGAATGGCAATCGAATATTTAACATTAGCTTTTTTAATTCCTTTTCTTGTAATTTGTATTGAACTTTTATTTTTCATGTGTAATGAAAGTAGTTTATCTTTAAAAAAAAAAAAAAAAAAAAAAAATTTGTTACAGATGTCCAAAAAGACAACAAATACGTTAACCTTTACATTATGTAAATAATATAGAAACTACTCCCCCCCCTTCCTTTAACATTTACATTAAATTATATATTTGTTTATTATCAATATCTGTTTAGCATTATATGTGTGTGTTTCTACAGTGGATTGATGCATCTGCAGGTTGCCTGGGTTTGCTAAAAGAGTAAAAGCTTATCCACTCGCTGCTTCTTTCTCTCCACTTTCCACACACCTCACTGTGAATCTGAGAATATACTGCATACCACCGAATCAAACTTTTTAATTCTAAATTTAAATATCGTTTCCAAAGCGTATGGCAAGTTGAGTTGGAGTTTATGTGAACTCAACTCAAGTTCTTATTACAACAGAACTTGTTGTGTTTGAACTTTCTAACAGAGCTTGCATTATCATTTACACGTATAAACATTCTAAAGGAAGTTTTCAAGCTATTCTAGCTTAATTAATTAAGACCCATTAATCTATCATATCCAAATTTCAGATTAATTTTCATTATGGAATTTAATTTTAAGCCAAAAGTATTCGTCACGATATAAACAAGGCTCCAGAAACTCTTAAAGTGGGCCTGTATCCATTATAACACATGTTGCTTATCCTTGTTCGTAAAACAAAACTTGCTCAAAGATTTAAATAACTCAATCAAATGTCAACTACATTTGGTTGATTCTCAAATCTCAAATTTAATTCAACGTTCCTTTCCCTATCCTCAATAACTCCCTAGTACTGGTCCTGTTTTTGTTCGTCTTATGGATATAGATACAACATGTAACACACTTTTAGACCTCCCATACCAACATGGTCGGCAATCATGCTCATGACAAAACCCAATTAGAATTGTTTTTTTTCTTGGAAACAGCGAATATCATTAATTAGCAAGGAATTAGAAATGAGAGCAATCCTTCCCTCACATATACACCAATGAAATTACATCATTAGCCATAATAATAGAGGACTTGATGGTCTTGTTATAAACTTTCTCATTTCCCGCCTTTCATATTCCTCATAGGAATCCATAAAAGATAGCTAATTAAGGGGATCTTGCGTTTTTTTTGGACAATTGTTCCATCCTACAACAAAGTTAAGAAACTCAACCACATCTGTAAATTGCCTCTAAGGAATTCCACACCATTTAAGGATCCATTCTAGTCTACATGATCAACAAGCACCTTACAAGTACATGATCAACCGTCTCTTCATCTGTATCACACATGCAGCAGTTAGTCGTTGTGATTTAAACACCCCTTTTCGATAAAGTCTCTGAGACATGAATCCATCCAACTAAAATTGTTATAGTAGTTCAAACTTATATAGTTATATTACGCAATCACTAGGAATTTGTAAACAAAATACATATTATGCAATCACAAAAAAACTTGGACAATTTGTTGTAGAATATCACGTTATTTGTATCAAGCCATTTATTGTTTATAAAAAGTCGTATAAGTACATCAAGCTCATTTTCAAAAGAATAACTTAATACTTTCGAAATGATACAAGAAAACTATTCGCACCCTTTAAAAAATACATAGATACAGACATGACATGGTGTAATACAAATACAACTAACTAAAGATGGGATTTAATTATTTCTTCATGGATTCGCCTTCTGTGTGTAAATATAATCAAGATGCGCAACAAGGGTCCTTCTCATCATGCACTCTTCTTCACCAACTCCGTCACACCCTTCTTCAATCTCAACGTCCTACAAACAACACAAAACACAAATTCGAATATTAATTTTATGATAAGTTTAAGTATATATCATCATATGGGTGTTGAAGAGAGTAAACTTACCTTGCTTGGTGTTCTTGTGGTGGTGGGTTCGGGCCGGGAGGCAGAGGAGAGGGAGGAGGAGAAGAGGAGTAGAGAGAGTAAAAGGAAGAGAGCGGTGGCTTTAGACATTGTTGCTGACAGTTATTTGGTGGTTGAGTGAGGGTTGCAGAAAGAATGTATTTATAGAAACGAAGAAGTTCGGTGTGAAATGAGAGACTTTAGGATACGTACACACACATATATAGAAGTATTTGAATATTGAAGCGAAGACTCTCGAGTCATATCTAGAATTAAATCAAACTATTCTATGCCACATACTTTTTCTAACATGGGGTAAAGTATTTATATAGGGTTACTTTAAAATTTTCAGCGTAAAGCAATATTTTAAAAAAAAAAAATTCTCAAAAAACTAGGGGTATTTGTTTGAATGGATCGGTTTGATCCGATCCGATCAAATTAATCCAAATAGATTTACGGATACAAATAGTTCAAATTAAATTTAAATCCGATCCGATCCAACCAAATTACAATTTGGTTGGATCGGTTTTTTCAATTGGGCTTTTTAAAGGCAAGACATTTTGAACAATATATAACTTGAATATTAGTCAAATCTCTAAAAGAAACAACAAAAAAAACATTTAGTTACGAATTATAATATATAAAAAGCTACTAAGAAATTAGCTTATAGTTAATATTTTATTGACATATTTTTTTTTGATAAGGAGTACGAGAGTACATATTAAAATATTATATCAAATGAAAATTTCTAATAGTTAAAAATAATAATTTAGTAAATTTTTAAATAGTTAAAGATACATATTAAAAATCACTAACAAGTTGTTATTCGGTTTTTTTGGACTACTCGATTATTATTTTATAAACCAAAATCAATCCGAAATTCAAAAAAATAATTTGATTTTTCTAAAAATCAATCCAAAAATCAGAGTATTGAAACCAAATAGTTTGATCCAAATTGTCCAATTGAACAATTCGATTTTATCCAAATAATGAACAACCCTACAAAAAAAACAGTTACATTTTATATTAGTTATGCATATAAAATTAATTTTTTTTGCTATGTTTTGTATTAGTTATGCATAAAATAACATTTAAATTTAAATTTAAAAGTAAAATAAAATACAGTATCAATCAACTTTTTAAAAAAAATACTCACTATAATTCATTAAGACCTAAAAACAAATTAAGAAAAAAAAAAAGTTATTGTCAAAAAAACTAGGGATGAAATGGTGATGCTAGCTAGATAATATCAAAGATACATATTTAATATTATAGTCATCTTAAAAGCTATAAAACTAATTAGATAAACAATGTCAATATGAGACTAATCCATTTGGTAGATGTATAAGCCTTTTAAATTGGTGGCCTTGGGTTTAAATTTAGACGTAAGCGAATTAATTAGCTTGATAAATTTAACTTCTAACTACTAAAAAATCGTTTAAAATATTAGATAACCAATATTTAACAAAATAAACCAAATGATGGTTTAGGATCATATATTTCAATGTACTAATCCTTTAAGGTTTAAACTAGGAGATGGTAATCAAAATTGTTTATCATTATTACTATTATATAAATTCTTTTAATTAATTATTAAGTAAAATAATTTATTTAAATTGCTTTGATTTAATGAGTAAGAATAATGGTCATTTATATATTTAGTTGGTAAATAATAATTTGTTGAATATAAATATATAACTTATTTGATATCTTTTTATACCTTCTAATATGTGACCATATAATGCGTATAGTTCTTTTTAGAACGACGAGTTAGTAGATACATGAGATTGAATCCATGACCTCTTGTTAGAAACATTTTGTTAGACACTTTGTTAGCTGAGTGAGCTATCCTCAATTTATAATATTGTGTATAGTTAACGATGCAAACTGTACACTAGATTATATGTAAGTTACACATTATATCCAACACGGTTTGAATGTTCTTTTGTTGAACACATCATTCGACTTTTTATTAAATATGTTTAAAATTCCTTTTTTTGAGGTTTCCTAAAAATAAAGAAACACCCTTGAATTTTTTTTAAGGGTAGAAGTTTTTTTACTTAAGCAACATTTCAGGAATGTTGTAGTATTTTAAATTCAGATATGTTGGATGAGGGATAGCTGGATTTCCTCTTTACAAGGGGCTATTGAATTGGTTTTCATGTTATCTAATTTTATAACAATATTTTTTTTATTTAGGATTTTTATAAAAATATATAGAAAACAAACATTCCCAACCTCAACGATTCTTATATCATTTAAGGACAAACAACCGTAAGGTTTTAATGTACTTACACTGTAAACCTCACTATAAAAACCCTACACTACTCTAAATATAAACTATCAACCTAAAACTACAATAATTATCAAGAAAACAAAGAGAATAATATTGAAACCCTAATCTATACAAGTTTAGGAAAGGGAAGATGAGAGAATCTTGAATGAGTGTGTGTGTGCGCGCGCATGTGTGTGTTGTGTGTAGAACCCATGCACAAAACAAATATATATCCAGGTTAATAACCAGACCCATTTAACTGAAGATCCGCGAATCATGGATCAAATTTTATCTCCGTAGTCCAGAAGAATCAAGTCATATGCAATCTAACCCCTTCAGACAAAACTCCTATAATCAACATCCTGGACATCTTTCAATAATGACCCTGAAAATGAACAAACATACAAAGCAAACCTATAGGAGAAAATGTTAAGTTTAAAACTATAAAACCTTATGTTTTTCAACAACTTTTAAGATTTTTAGGAATTTTTATAAGACTATAATTAATGTCTTTCTAGTCATAGTTGTAGTCATTCCACTCTCTACCCTTTTTTTCATAAGTCGATTAAGAACTTTATATCACTTTTCTCTTTGTTGATTTTGTTAAAAATACAGGGTCGAATGCCAAATGGTTTTGTTGGTCCCAAACTAAGTAATGAAACTAATATAAAAGAACAATGAAGAATACTTCAAAATCGTTTCTTTATTGATGAAGAACAGTTTGATAAACACGAGAGTTAAGTATAACCATCAATGCAATTCCTATAGATCATCGAATCTTTTGTTAATCTTGGAAACTCTATCTTGACCTGAAAAATATTTTATCCTTATTAGTATCACCAACTTGTAGCGTAAGAGTATTCTAATCCTTAATTCCACTTTCCTGGTTTTTCGAGCCCGGGTCAAATCGGGCCAGGTTCGGACCAACTTTCATCTCTCCTCAAAAACACCCACTAAAACCATTAGTGTGTATTCATGCTGACACCATAGCGTGAACATAGTTGGTAATGTATGAGTTTCCATTCGACTCATCAAATTACAATGTTTAACTCAACATATTTTTTCTCGTAATGGTTTCCACCAATATTTTGTCTTGTTGGTTTTCTCATTTTGGTTATTGAATTCATCATCGATTATAACAAAATCAATCATGCCATTTAAGACTATTAGCTTTATGTTTAACCGAATAAAAAAATGCACCCACCCCGCGATGGAAGTCTAATGGTCGATGAGTTGAATCTCACACATGAGCTACACAGTTCAAAACCGGGCACACCCAAAATACTGATAGTGTTCCGCGATTGACTTCGTATGTAGGCCTTGTACGTGTACTAGTTGATGTGAGTCGCTATTTTAATGCGGTTTACCAATTTTTTTAACAAATGCATAGGAATATCAATGACAATTTTCTGCCAAAAATAGCAAAATTCTTTATTTTCTCCCATTAATATTATATGTATCAAACAACCCTCAATGTTTGATGTTCACTGCAAAGTACTCCATACGATTAGTGTCTAAAAATGGATTTGGCTAAAGAAGGTAATTATTGAAGATTCTGGATAGAGGTTCCTAGTCGACGTCAAGAATTTATTGAAGATTACCCACTCAACTATTAGTTTTCAACGATGCCTTCAAATGAAGCTTCGAGTTCGATCGTAGCCCATTTGCCAATACGGTAGCTCAAATACCATTGCATGCCAACTTTTTGACAAAATGCCATAACACCAAATTCACCACTTTATGATGAAACTTGCATACAACAACCTATTTTATGGGTTTGTGAAGTTACGAATTTTCTTGTACTTTGACATTCATTTATGGCTCGAGAAGAAAGAAGAAAGCATGCCTCTTCGTTATGATGGGCACTTTTGGCCCACTTAGAAATTTTCAAATATCTCTCCTAGTATTTTAATTTGGTTATAATGTTTCCTAGTATTTTGACAACTTTGGTTTTAATCCACAAGATTAATTACATAATTCACACCTTCCATAATATATGATGCGAATAATCTTGGTTTTGTTAAGGATGAATTAATGCGGTTCATTCACAAGGTGTTTCATACATGATAGAACATGGTCTCCCACGACCCACATTGATTGTTTATATTAAACATCGATTGTTTTGTTGACAAAACATCCAACGCAAGTTAACTAAATAGGTTTATAATTAGTTAAAGAGTAAATTACACGAATGGTCCCTATGGTTTAGGGTAATTTGCATGTTTGGTCCCTAACTTATTTTTTATAGAACAAATTACGCGAATGGTCCTTTAGGTTTTGGATTTTTCCCTAATGTAGTCCCTACGATACTTTTTTCCCTTAAATAGTACCTACAGACCATAATTTGCATGCGTTTGGGCCCCGAGTTGGATGTCCGTCCATTCTAACGTTAAGTTGCCCCCATGTGACTTGCACATGAGGGTATTTATGTCATTTTAGCCTAAACGACCTTTTCTGAACATATAAATTAACGCCTATATTACTTCTTCTTGTTCTTCCTCCCAATTCAATCGATCACTACTACTGTTAGAGAAAGAAAGCTGTGGAAAATGCCGATATGTGCTTATGGAAATCGTGATCTAGCCATCGTCACTTCCTGGTCAGATCGCAACCCTGGAAGGCGATTTTGGTCTTGTCTTCGTAATGAGAGAAAGTGTGGTTGGATTGGGTGGTTTGATGAGCCCATGTGCCCTAGATCGGTGGAAGTGATACCTGGGTTAATCAGGTCTATGAACAAGCTCCAAGAATCTCTTCAACAAGCTACACTGCAAGCTAGGATGTATAAGTTAATCATTCTCTTCAGTTGGGGTCTTCTTGCAATTCGTTACTTGAAGCATGGTTGAAGTTGCCTCTGAATGTGGTGTCTGAATGCAAGAAGTAGTGTCGTAGTCATAGGGTTAATGTACTGGTGGTCTTATTTTGAGTCTGAAGACAGGAAATTGTAGCATGGTTTATGTAGTGTTTGTGTCTTTTTTGAGTTTGACTGCAGGAAATTATGTTCTAGTTAATGTT